TCAACAGCTGATGTGGATCAGATGATGTGGATCAGTTGATGTGGATCAGTTGATGTGGATCAGATGATGTGGATCAGCTGTTCACTGTTATTGCTCACGCCTCTTGAAGATTCATTGGTATCTTCCAGACTGATGACTTCTTGATGTTTATCTAATACTTTACATAGCTCTCTCACTCCCCTTCTTACACCCCCCTCATCCCACTAATCATACCACCCTTTTCCTTATCTCTTATCCCACTCTACCTACTCCACTCCTACCTGTTTCTTTTCCTTCCATCCCCTTCCACCTCTGCATCCTCTATTCTGTTATATATTTTCCCCTGTATATATTCCACTCTTGCCCTGTATCCCTCTCATAGCTCTCTTCCCCCTCCCCCTATGTTCCACTCCCTAGTACCATCCCGTCCCTTGTCCTTTTCATATACCCGAATCCCCTCCCATATCCCACTTCCCTCCCTCGTCCCAGTCCTATATCCCACTCCCATACCCCCTTTTATCCCACTCCTAAACCCACTCCCCCACCCCACTCTCCCATACCCCCATTATTTACGCCCACAATGTGGTGATTGCTTAATTAATTCCACGCCTTCGTAAGGGTGACCTTGAGGGAGAGCACAGCTCTTGAAGCCCTGGAGAAGGAACCAAGCTAGAGACAAGGCCTATCTTCGAAGTACAAAGCCAGTAGAAGTGTCTTCAGGCCTGTCTTCGAAGTACCAAGCCAGTATAAGAGAGGTCCTCAGGCCTGTCTTCGAAGTTCTAAGCCAGTACAAGACGTCCTCAGGCCTGTCTGCGAAGTCCCAAGCCAGCAGAAGTCCTGAGACCCGACTTCTCAAAGTCCCAAGGTAGCAGTGAAGGCCTTCAGGCCCAACCTCGAAGTCCCAAGTCAGCAGAAAAGGGTCTTAACCCTGTTCTCGATGTCGCGAGTGAACAGGAGAGGTTCTCAGGGCTGCCTTCGAAGTTACAAGTGATCAGAAGTTCTCAGCTTCATCTTCGAAGTCACGAACCAACGGAAGAGATTCCCAGGCTCGCCTTCAAAGTCGCAAGCGATCCTTAGACGTGGAAGGAAGTCTCTGGAGGCGTCGGCCTGGGTGTGGGACGAGGCAGTGACCTCGCTCCTCCGGATAGACTCCTGCCAATGGTGGCGTGGGCGACTGGGCGGGATGGATGAGTGTAGGCGTGGGCGTACTGCTGGTCGGTAGGTGGTGGTAGGGGTCGAGGGAGTGGGGCGCGACCTCAGACCTGCTCGTACTTGGCCCTATTAATGTTACGAGCCAGGCAACAGGCCAGGACCACCCCTACCAGCTGTACGGGAAAACAGTGAGTTAATGTTATGCCAACTCAAAAATTCCTAAAAATACAGGAAAATGAACACCAGGAAGAAAAAGCATAAGAGGAAAAATTCGTCCCTAAAACTTACATTCAAGGGAACATATCAAAAGCAAATAAATACTTCACAACTGATCATTTAAACTTTGCAAATTAACACTAGTAATAGCAACATAGAAGATAAATTACATTGCATTGTAAGGGAAATTAAAACCACTGTCACGTGAACCTCAGAAAGCGATGTAAGTGTCAAGAAACCTTCAGCTTTATGAAGCAGCAATGACCTGGGACCTACAAAGTTTGAGAACCACCACAGGGACCTAAAAACCTGAGAACCCCCAGGTCATTCCAGCAAAAACTTTCCCAACATTAAACTGAGGTTCCACACGTCTCTTCCAGCACACACTCGTCTGAAAACCTCCCAGTCTTCCAGGTGCCAATGGAGTGGTGCCTCTCACGTCCTGCAGGACTTTGTACTCATAGTGGTTATACAGCACCTGGAGAATGATAGCTAATCAAATTTGATCTACGGGGAAAGAAAGATAAATCCAGTTCTCTATGTCTCCCTGGCTAACAACTCTATCAACATCCAGCGCCTTCGAAGAGTCAGAGATAAGAGAGTCATCCGTTGATAATAAGCTTTGTGTAGGGCTCTAGTAAGACAAGATAAAGCTCCACACAGAGCGAAACGTTGCCCTAGTGTAATAATAATAATAATAATAATAATAATAATAATAATAATAATAATAATAATAATAATAATAATAATAATAATAATAATAATAATAATAATAATAATAATAATAATAATAATTCTTATTTAATCACCTGGAAACTTGCAAAGCTGAGAGAGGTAATGAGTAGGACTCCAGTCTTGGACTCGAGGAACTGGACCACAGTCGAGTAGCAACCCTGAGGAGAAGGATATAATCGTGAGAGTCCTACTAGAGGGAAAGGAAGGAAGGAGGGAAGGAAAGAAGGAAGGGAAGGAGGGAGGGGAGGGGAAAGAAGGGAAGAAGCTTATTTATATCACAAACAATAGCACCAAATCTATCTTCGGCATCTTTATGCAAACATTTCGGAGATTTCAGTTGACCATCATCAGTGCCATGAAAAAATAAGTATTTTCACTCATTATTCACAAAATTCATTATACAATAAAATTCAAGAATAAAATCAATGAAATTCAGATATATAATGAAACGTATTGTTTAAATAAGGTAAAAAAAAATTACTCATAATATTAAGAAAATATTTGACATCCAAAGTCTCTTAAAAAAATCAATTGTGAAAGAAAATAATGAACATAATTAAAAATATATATATATTTTTCTATATACAAGTTAGCAGAACTTAACTGGTATAAGTGTTAGGCTGTGTATATACTGCTTGGCTGTGTTTTTGTCAACCGTCTTCTCATCCTCGGTATACACCTGGATATATACACTGAGAGGTGTATATCTGTCAGTGTATATACACTGGGAGGTGTATATCTCAGTGTATATACACTGACAGGTGTATATGTCTCAGTGCATATACACTGGATTTTGTACCAACTTTTTCTAATAACTTCAGGGCGGAGGGGATTCGAACCTACGGACTTTGGGACAAAGTACGCAGTACATGGTCCCAAAGTGTGTTAAACCCTGCCAGCACCTGACTGGTGTAGTGGTACACAGATGTTACTCTTCTCACCTAAAAGATAGTGAATAAAACACCTGTGCCTCCTTCAAGAGGGTGCTCCAAGCCCCGTGTGACCTACCTGAGGGTGTAGGGCGACGCAGATGGTGTCCTGGGCCTCCCTGCAGCAGGAGGCTGGGTATGGGGTGTCATGAGACTGACCAAAGGGCATGGCTACCCAGTCGCTGGCATTCTGGATGCCACAACAGTGAAGCTGAAAGAGGGTATGTTGAGATGATACATAAATTTGATACAGATTCTCAACAATACATAGTGATACATGAGGATACATTGTGATACATAATGATACTTAGTGATATATAAAGATACATCGTGATACATAGAGATACATAATGATACATAGTGATACGTAGTGATACATAACTGTTGGAACATGTAGTATAACTGGTCACAGACCGAGGCGGGGGCGTTGACCCCCGAAACCTTCTCCAGGTATACATTACACGACAATCAGAAGCCTGAAGTTCAGACATCGTGAACATAGCGCTGCTGGGTGAACACACACGCAAAACTAACTACACGCTGAAGGGCTTTCGAGTGTGCAGCTCCAGTGTGAAGCACCCACTTCCAGACACTTGGAAAAAAAATTGCTGTCGGACTGGTCTTAAAATTTAAGATCATTCTATAGGGGGTTGGGTTATGGAATTGAACTTCAGGGTTTTTGGATAAGAGAAGGACTGAAAGGAGACATGACTACGACGTACAGAATTGTATTAGGAGGGAAAACTGGTGGTTAAGCTCAGCGTATTGGAGAAAACTGCCCTATAATGATTTGTTGACTGGATTGAACTTAAGAACTTTAGCCAAAAAAAGACGTGATTACTACGTAATGGAGTGAAATACTGGATGTTTGGTCCTCTGACAGTCCATACGAGAGTACAGAGTTACAGGGGTAACTCACCTGGCCATGGTATTGAGAGAGTTACTGAGTACGTAATAGCAACTGGGTAAACAAATGAGTACACTGACCGTGTTCTGGAGACTGTCGACAGCACTTCTCATGGAGGGTGAGCGATCGTACTCAGTGAAGGCTCTGGTAAGTCCGTCCTCGTAGCCAGCTTTCAGATGCTTCCTGTAAGCCCAGGTGCTCACCCCAGAACCCACCATGATCACGAAGATCACCAGCAGGAAGGCTGCGTACTGATCCCCAGGTACAAAAAAAAATAAGTGTTAGAACTAATTGAGAAAGTTGGTCAGAAGGTATTTACTTCTTGGATTCCAAGCCTTTAAACTATAGTTACACGACTCTTAAAACCCTTTAAAACCTTTTAACCTTAGTTATTTGATCTTTAAACTTTAGTCACAAATACTTTAAGCATTAGGTACAAACTCTAGTCATAATAATGTTAATCTTTACCAGATGTAAACATGAGAGTCAAGCTATCACAACATTAAACTATAAACCCCAAAACTCTACTTGCAAAGCTTTTGAAGCTATCACAAAGACTCGTAAGCCCTGTACAGTAGTCTTAGAACCTTCAAAGCTAGCTACAAGGCCTCATAAATTAGCACATGACCAAACCCAGCACGCTCTTTAGAACCGCAAGCAACATCCAAGATTACACCCCTTGCTCCCCCCCCCCTTTTTCCCTCCTCTTCCAGGAGAGGAATAGGTTAGAAACATCGAACTAACAGCAGAAGAGGTTAAAGTCACCTGACTCACTGCAGAAGAGGCTAAAGTCGAGCATCGAACTCATAGTAAGAGAGGTTCAAAACACTTAACTCACGCCAGAAGGGGTTAAGAACATCTCACTCACCAGACATTGGAAACATGCAACTCACAATATAGAGAAGAACAGGCTGGCCCTTGGCAGTGCAGCAACAGGCTAGCAGACCCAGCAATAGCATCAAACCCCCGGTGGCCACCAAGACGTAAGGAGCAGTAGCGGAGAACTCAGCAGACACTTCCATGTACTTGTATACCTCCACTTTCACCAGGATACCTGCGGCCAGCATCACGGCTCCCATCAACTGGAAGAGTGGCGGTAGAAGTAGTGGTTTGAGGGGATAGTGGTAGTAGAACTAGTGGTTGGAGGGGATAGTGGTAGTAGAACTAGTGGTTGGAGGGGATAGTGGTGGTAGAACTAGTGGTTGGAGGGGACAGTGGTAATAGTAGTGATTAGATGTTAATTGAGGTGGGGGACTTTTGCAGTGTATTTCTTAACGTAATTAAGATTATTATTATACATGGCCAACGTAAATAATGATTTTTATTTATTAAAAAAAAATAGGTAATGTCATTATATAATATAATATATATATATATATATATATATATATATTTTATATATATATATATATATATATATATATATATAAAAATATATATATATATATATGTTGATTCCAGTACCTATAGTCTCTCTTAACCTGTTTATATGTTTGTGCATAAATGTATTTTCAAGTATTTTTATATATTCTTATTCTTATTCTTATTATTATTATTATTATTATTATTATTATTATTATTATTATTATTATTATTTCAATTATTATTATTATTTTTTATTTACAATTATTTATTATCGTTATTATTATGACAGTAACGACAACACTACGTATACTACTAATAATAATTATAATAATCTTTATTCACTTACATCTACAATCTAACCCACTAAGAACCTCATTTACCTATTCAAGAAACCCTTAAAAGATATATATATTAATATATATTAAAAATATATATTAAGGTTCTCAATAAAGGACCCTAAAAACTGTCTTCAAATTATTAATAATTTTTTACCGCCCTTTTCCGGCCATTGTAACCCGGAATTATCAGCGATAATACACTCATGTTGAAGCGCTAAACCCGTGATAGCTTCACGGCACCTGGAATGCGAGGTAATAAGGTTTGATCCGAGGAAGCAGAAGGTACCTCCCAATCCTTGGATCGGGATCCCTTCATCGTAAATAAAGCAACCCCCTTACAAGGGATCCTGAACTGGAATTATTGATTAATAAAGATGGCGGCTACTTCAGCCACACCCCACTGCCAGACGTACAAGATATATCCTCTCCCTGAGGTAATATTCGTCAAATTATTTCCCAAAAATATCCCACTATAGGCAAGACTAAATATATATATATATATATAATATCAAGATTTAGTGGTAAAATATAGAAGGAATTTCAGAGGTATTTTAATGTTTACTAAATTCTTCCCTCCGGGATTCGCGCCAAATCGGATATTTTACATGAGGTTGTCGAACTGCATTAATGGATTATTATTATTATTATTATTATTATTATTATTATTTTTATTATTATTATTATTATTATTATTATTATTATTATTATTATTATTATTATTATTATTATTATTATTATTATTATTATTGTTATTATTATTATTATGGTCTAACTTGGACCATTTACAAAGTTACATTAACACAAGTCGGACCGAAACGTCGTCGTAAGTTGTTTCTGTCTCAACACATCCCTTACTAGACGCATGTCGGTCGCTGTGCGATCCGAGAAAGATATTTCCCCTTATCTCATAAGCCCAACCTCCTCTACCTCAATGCGGGCTAAAGGAATAGTACAGAGTTGCCATAAAATTCTTATGCACCAATATACGTATATATTGGTGTGTGTGTGTGTGTGTACTCACCTATTTGTACTCACCTATTTGTGGTTGCAGGGGTCGAGTCACAGCTCCTGGCCCCGCCTCTTCGCTGATTGCTACTAGGTCCTCTCTCTCCCTGTGTACTCACCTAGTTGTACTCACCTAGTTGAGGTTGCGGGGGTCGAGTCCGAGCTCCTGGCCCCGCCTCTTCACTGATCGCTACTAGGTCACTCTCCCTGAGCCGTAAGCTTTATCATACCTCTGCTTAAAGCTATGTATGGATCCTGCCTCCACTACATCGCTTCCCAAACTATTCCACTTACTAACTACTCTGTGGCTGAAGAAATACTTCCTAACATCCCTGTGATTCATCTGCGTCTTCAACTTCCAACTGTGTCCCTTGTTACTGTGTCCAGTCTCTGGAACATCCTGTCTTTGTCCACCTTGTCAATTCCTCTCAGTATTTTGTATGTCGTTATCATGTCCCCCCTATCTCTCCTGTCCTCCAGTGTCGTCAGTGTGTGTGTGTGTGTGTGTGTGTGTGTGTGTGTGTGTGTGTGTGTGTGTGTGTGTGTGTGTGTGTGTTAAAAATGCTTGAAATCGTGAAGTCATGGAAATCAATTTCTGGAATGATCTATATAAAATTGGGCAGAGAGGACCTACATGTGTTAATTTCTCTACGAGCCTTCACCTAGTAATAGGTGACCAGTGATTAAAATTTGAAGCCTATCGGATAAGGCATTCTGAAGTTATAGCCGTAAAACCTAGATGGCGTGCAGAAACTGTAGGTAACAGATGACCGGCTCTGTCATCACGCCGTGCAGTATTTAAGGGCTCATTCAACTCAGAAAATTTATAAATGCTATAAAAAAGCGAATTTTCAATATTTTTCAATTGTTTTCGTCGGTTCCATTAGTTTTAAAATTCTCTACAATCCTCCAAAGAAAAAAATATATATTTCTGTTTTTAAGATGGCCCAATAATATGAAAATTCCAACAATTACAAGTTTTAAAAAAATATTATTGAATTATCGAATTTGTCAACGCAAAACTAATGCTAAGAGGCACTATCCTGGGTACTATCCTGGGTACTATCCTGGGTACTATCCTGGGTACTATCCTGGGTAATATACTGGGTACTATCCTGGGTGCTATCCTAGGTGTTATTCCGGGTACTATCCTTGGCACTATCCTGGGTGCTGTCATGGGTACTCCTCTGGGTACTATTCATGGTGCTATCCTGGATACTACCATGGGTACTATTCTGGGTACTATCCTGGGCACTATCCTGGGAACTGTTTGAACATTTGAATCTTAGCTACTGAGAATTTTGGAGTTTATCCAAGCCATTCAAGGACGCTAGGACAAGCTTCAATAACGTAGCTCACAGAGCAGCTACGTATGCCAATTATACCTGGAATCTGGTCCTCCTTACGGTACACAAGAGTCCAAGATTTGAACCCGATCGGATGAGGGATTCTCGAGTTATGAGCGAAATAAAAATGGAAAAGTTGGAGGAATGGGGTTAAAAATATAGACAACTCGGGCCATAATGTGTGAATTATGGGCGTGGAGTGCACACGGGAGGCCGTGTACACACACACACACACACACACACTGGCGTACAGGGTGGATGTGAGGCGTGGTATCCACTCCTGGCTCTGACTTACACACGCCAGGCAGATGTGTATCTCGCCAGACATTACTGCCTTTTTCACTGCATTCATCTCCGCTCTGGAATTACTGTCACCACGAACACTACGTGTGTTATTTTTGTTATATAATAAATAATAATAATAATAATAATAATTAATAATAATAATAATAATAATAATAAAATAATAATAATAATAATAATAATAATAATAATAAAATAATAATAATATAATAATAATAATTATTATTATTATTATTATTATTATTATTATTATTATTATTATTATTATTATTATTATTATTATATTATTAAGCACCTTGAGAACGCTTCCACCCGATCGGCTTCAAACTTTCAATGCAAGTTTACTGTAATTGTGGTAAAGTTTCATGTAAATACCGCCATGCGCAGCTGCCCTCTGTCTGCAGATATCGTTACTAAAACATATCTTAAGAATGAATCTTCCGATCTGCTTTCAACTTTTAAAACTATCATGCCTTACTTACCAGGTTGTTGTTGGGTTGTTAATTTAGTTAACATTTGTTAACTAAATTAAAACGATACTTGAAGTTACTGGGTTCTGTGTGATAGCTGGAGAATGATTCTCCTGGTAGTCTTCAAACTTTTATTTGGTGCTGGAGTGTGTGTGTGTGTGTGTGTGTGTGTATGTGTGTGTGTGTGTGTGTGTGTGTGTGTGTGTGTGTGTGTGTGTGTGTTTGTGTTGTGTGTGTGGTGTGTGTTGTGTGTGTGTGTGTGTGTGTGTGTGTGTGTGTGTGTGTGTGTGTGTGTGTGTGTGTGTGTGTGTGTGTGTGTGTGTGTGGTGTGTGTGTGTGTGTGTGTGTGTGTGTTCTGTGTGTCTGTGTGTGTGTCTGTGTGTGTGTGTGTCTGTGTGTGTGTGTGTGTCTCTGTGTGTGTGTGTGTACTCACCTAGTTGTACTCACCTAGTTGAGGTTGCAGGGGTCGAGTCCAAGCTCCTGGCCCCGCCTCTTTACTTGTCGCTACTGGGTCACTTTCCCTGAACCATGAGCTTTATCGTACCTCTGCTTAAAGCTATGTATGGATCCTGCCTCCACTACATCGCTTCCTAAACTATTCCACTTCCTGACTACTCTGTGGCTGAAGAAATACTTCCTAACATCCCTGTGATTCATCTGTGTCTTCAGCTTCCAACTGTGTCCCCGTGTTGCTGTGTTCAGTCTCTGGAACATCCTGTCTTTGTCCACCTTGTCAATTCCTCTCAGTATTTTGTAAGTCGTTATCATGTCCCCCCTATCTCTCCTGTCCTCCAGTGTCGTCAGGTTGATTTCCCTTAACCTCTCCTCGTAGGACATACCTCTTAGCTCTGGGACTAGTCTTGTTGCAAACCTTTGCACTTTCTCTAGTTTCTTTACATGCTTGGTTAGGTGTGGGTTCCAAACTGGTGCCGCATACTCCAATATGAGCCTAACGTACACGGTGTACAGGGTCCTGAACGATTCCTTATTAAGATATCGGAATGCTGTTCTGAGGTTTGCCAGGCGCCCTTATGCTGCAGCAGTTATTTTGTTGATGTGCGCTTCAGGAGATGTGCCTGGTGTTATACTCACCCCAAGATCTTTTTCCTTGAGTGAGGTTTGTAGTCTCTGGCCCCCTAGACTGTACTCCGTCTGCGTCTTCCTTGCCCTTCCCCAATCTTCATGACTTTGCACTTGGTAGGATTGAACTCCAGAAGCCAATTGCTGGACCAGGTCTGCAGCCTGTCCAGATCCC